CATTTGTTTTTATTTTAAAGTGAGATGGAAAGAGGTCAGTATTATTTCATCTTTTATATCACAAATGTCCTGCATTTAGAAAACAAAAACTATTCTTTTTTGGCTAAGATGCTAAGCTTGTTGATCAGAAAGGTCAGCAGTTTGGCGGTTTGAATCCCTAGCGCCAAGTAACAGAGTGAGCTCCCGTTACTTGTCCCAGCTTCTCCCAACCTAGCAGTTCAAAAGCATCTAAAAATGCAAGTAGAAAAATAGGAACCATTTTTGATGGGAAGGTAACATGCATTTCATGCACCTTCGGCGTTTAGTCATGCCAGCCACATGACCATGGAGACGTCTTTGGACAGCAGTGGCTCTGACTTTGAAACAGAGATGAGCACCATCCACTAGAGTCGGGAATGACTAGCACATATGTGTGAGGGGAATCTTTATCTTTAACATTTCAAAACATTCATGTATCGCCTCTGCCCATCTGAAATGGTGCTGTCCTACATAATCTATAGTCAAAATAAATCTGTTGATCATGTGGTGCAGATCTGAGTACATAAAGAAATGGAACATATTTGCTATTAATACCCATAATAAAAAAGGAAGCTTCAGAGGAATAATAGTGATTCCTGGATGGAATAGAATTGGAAAATAGTATTTTTTTAAAAAAAAAAATCTTTACATAACACCTGTAGCCAGTAATTCTTATGGTATACTCTATTCATGAAGACCATTGTGTCATCTTCCTTGGTAGGTGATTGGCCTACCAAGGAACAGAAATTGTTTTCATGCCTAGATATAAAAAGAATCAAGCTGTTCTACTAGATTCAGTGCCTGTAAATAAGTTAAGGGAATCTAAGTAAAGGATATTACTGATATTGTGGAGCCAAAAGAAAAGTTAAATATGGAGTTTACTATTTTACACTCACTTTTAAATAATAAAGATACTAGAAATTGCTGAGCAATTAATGAAATGCAGGTAGTACTCAATTTATGACTACAAATGAGCCCAGAATTACAGTTGTAAGTCATTGTGTTCATAAACTGAGGCATATTCAAAGTTGTTTTTTTATGATTGATAGTTAATACAGCAGTTGTTATGTGAACGCTGCAGTGAATCCATTTTCCCCAATGGGTGTTGTTTTGCCAGAAGCTAGAAGTAAACACCAGAAACAACCAAAATAATTACAAGTTATGAACACATGACTGGGGGACACTGCAAGCAGCTAGAAAGGTGATTCAGTTGCCAAGCACCCAAGATGCAATCACATGAACCATGGGTGTAAGGACCTGCCTCAGCTAGTCCCTCAGGAAATCTATTAAGTTGAATCAAAAGAACCTTTACTGAGAGAAAGTGAAGGCAAAATCTGAAAAACCCCTTGCAAAGCACACAGCATTCTTTCGTTTCCCCAAAATCAGTCTCTCTGACCAGTCCACCAGCAGCCAATGTGATGCCACAAGATTGTTATGGAAACTCTGAGGAGCTAGGCAGATAACAGTTCACCCACAGAGCACGATGGCCTTGAACTCAGGCTGGAACTGTCTGGGATGGACTTTGCTTCATCTCTGAAGTCATTCTCCCTCCCCAATCCCTCAGCAATTACAGCACAAGCAAGCCAAAATGCCAGCACGCCTGCTCCTCCCCACTTCCAATAGAATGGCAGGACCATTGGTGGGATTCAGTTTTTTTTTACTACTGGTTCTGTGGGCATGGCTTGGTGGGCGTTGCATGGCTTGGTGGGCATTTCATGGCTTGGTGGGCATTTCATGGCTTGGTGGGCCTG